GTTTTATTGTGAATTGAGTGAAGGTTTACAGACAAGATCATCAGTTTCACATTAAAAAAAAAATCATCAGTTTGCTTCATCTCAATGATTGCAAGCCCCTCCATGCAATAGTAGTTGTCCCACTTCCTCCCTGGGATTACACATGTACAAATATCCTCTTTCAAGCTCTTACATATTTGTGAAATATATAAATATAGTCCACTCTTCTTCCCATAGCTAGTCAGCCTGTGTATCTGTCCATGTATCTACACACAGAACACTGTTATTCTAAGGTTGTATATGTATTACTATTTACCTCTATCCCATTTAGCCCTTGCATACCTTCCTGTATCTTCACATGTCTTCATCATTTTTCTGCAACCCATCCCCTTCTTGTATATTGCCCTCTCCATCATCCGAGTTACCATATGCCTACCCTCTAGCTAGTGAATTACGCTCCTCTCCCTCCCACACCTAGTAACCATCAAAGAATGTTTCATTTAGTATGAAAGCCTTTTCTTGAAGTTTTACAATAGTGGCCTCATACAATATTTGTCCTTTTTGTTTAATTTAATTCATTCAGCATAATGTCCTCCAGGCTTATCCATGTCATGAGGTGTTTCACAGATTCAGCCTTAGTCTTCAACATTGCATTGTATTCCATTGTGTCTATGTACAAAAGTTTGTTTATTCATTCTTCTCTTGATGAGCATTTAGACAGTCAACATATTTCTGCTATTGTGAATAGTGCTGTGATGAACATCGGTATGCATATATCAACTCATGTCCTGGCTTGTATTTCTTTTAGATATATACAGAGCAGAGGGATTGCTGAGTCAAATAGTATTTCTATTTCCAACTTTCTGAGGAAGTGTCATGCCACTTTACACAGAGGTTGAACCATTTTATAGTCCTACTATCAATCAAGTAGGGTCCCAGTTTCTCCACACCCTCGCCAGCATTTATTGTTTTCTGGTTTTTTGAACTTTGATATCAATGCTGATGTGAGATGATATCTCATCATTGTTTTGATTGACATCTCTCTAATGGCTAATGGAGTCCTGGTGTGGGCGCTGTGGGTTAATGTGCCAGACTGCAAAGCCGTTTGAACTGCAAGGTCGGTGGTTCAAACTCAGCAGTCACTCCTCGGAAACTGTACACTGGGTCGCTATGTGTCGGAACCGACTAGATGGCACTTAACAACAACAACAACAACAACAACAATGGCTAATGGAGTCTTGGTGTGGTGCTATGGGTTAATGCACTGGACTGCAAAGTCACTATGAACTACAAGGTTGGTGGTTCAAACTCACCAGCCACTCCTTAGAAACCCTATACAGGGCCACTATTGTCAGGACTTGACAGCATTTAACAACAATGACAACAATAGCTAATGAACTTCTGGTGTGGTACTGTGGATCAGCACTGGACTGCAAACCACAAGGTCAGCTGTTCAAACCCACCAACTGCTCCTCAGAAACCCTAAAAGGGTCGCTATGAGTTGGAACTAGCTCAATGGCACTTAAGAACAACAACAACAACAGTGGCTAATGATCATGATTTCTTTTTTTATATATATAAAGAGGTGTTTATATCAAGGAAATGACTCACAATTGTACAGTCCCAGATCCCCAGTAGAAATGAGAG